CACGTAAATTCGCAAATTATTTTAAGCTAGAAATTCATAAAAAAAATTCATTTTAAATCTAAGATTTCAAAATTTAATAATATATCCTAGACAGATAAACCGTCTTCGCTCAGAATCGTTTTTCGTATACAATGATATAATATCATTGGATTTAAATTTAATTCCATCCATTACAGTAACCCACTTGTAACCTACTGTACCTACAGCAGAGCGACATCCACTTTCCCGCTTTTCTAATAATAATGATCCACTAGATAGTTACATTTAAAATGTAAACGGTGCATAAAATTGTCCCCGAATACAATAATACTAGGCAAGTTTTTTAAATATGCTTGATCAGTTGGTAATTTGGATTTTTATTCATTTTTATCCAGACATTGACATGGCTTTTACCGCAGGTCTAGATRTTCTACTAGCTGTATTGACGCCGTTAATAAGATTATCGACCAACCATTTGTTCTAAAAATAATAACTTACTTTATCTTCTAAAAAAGCAAAAACTTTTAAATAGCTAGTTGTAATTTGGGAACATTCAAAAATACATAATACCTTGAGTTATTATAACGGGTTCTGGATACTATAAGGTTTTTTTTTTTATATTGATCAAAGGACATCGGCGACAACAGCCATTAGTCGTAAACGTTACATTGATTACATTTTTATAAGAAGTTATAAATAATAATAAACAGCTATTTTCGGGAAAATACTAAAATAGTCATAATTGTTTTCTCCAATAAAAAAGGCGAATTCATTTTTTAGATTTCCTTATACTTCTCGTATTATGATTCCTTACTGGTGTCCACTCTGATTTTTTATCCTGAGATTATAATGGGTCACTTAATCAATAATCCGTTTCATAACCTGTTGAGTTTTGAGTATGAGTAATTTGTAAATTATGATCTARATGTTGCACTGAAGCTTTATAGCGATATTTTACACGGCAATCACAGAATACAGTCGGACGTAGGAGATGTTATTTTCAATCTACAGTCATATCCAGGGTGAAAAAGTCGAGCACAGTTGTGCAGCACCATCATGATCCAGTTAAACTACGTAAATATTTAAATATACCTATTCAGTGAAAAATTGTACATAGAAATAATTAATTTTACTAATATTTACAGTATGTACTTAAAATTATGGTTTACTCACAATATATAATGTATCTACATCATCATACTATTATAAAAATAATCAACAGATTATAAATTAAATTTAAAGATATTCTTGCAAGAATAGATACTTTAATATCATTAAATAATTTTCAAGATATTTTAACTTTCAAGCAATAGCTTAATGCTATTTTAATAATTTAATATTAATTAATAKTATAAATGCAATATTTTTGACAATAGTTATATCAATGTACTATAAAATAATAAGTAATAATAAAATAAGTTGCTTTAAAAAAAATACCAAAAATCATGTGAACTATACTTGATATAAGCTCATCTCCACACAGAATCTTTTTACAATAGTAAATTATTGAATTCAAATGTAACACATTCATTGAAAGTGGCCAACAGTGGTACCCAAACCTAGTAATCTTTTTACTAATAAATATGTTTAGTTCAACTTTCAACACTGAAATTACAACTATTAAGGAGCRCATTTATTTTAAAACAGTTGACTAAATTGTACTTGTATAAATACCATGTTTCATATATTAGTAGGATAAAATAAATACATTTATATTAGAAGCATTAATCTCAAATAWAATTATAAGACTTTAAAGTGCATTTTTATTAAAACACAGATAATATATAATAACTTGGCATGTATATAAATATAATTAAAAATTTAGTTATAATATGGTTTTTCCTTATTGTCAGTATTAATGGTTTACAATTTGAATGGCAATTAATTACTTTTCTGAAAAAAAAAAAATATTAACCACAAGATGTATAAGACTAATCAGAATAAAACAAATTTTTTAGTAAAAACAGCAAGACAAATAACTTGATTTTAATTAATATTAAAATTAAAAGATAGAAATARACAAACTATTTTAGTTATTCAGTTCTGATATTTTTTTAACTTTACCTTATCTATAAAATTACAACACAAATTACATGAAATTATCAAATTGTTTAATGGTAAATCATTAAACTTCAAGAAAAAAATTATTCGCCAGAATAAAAACTTATTGTACTTAATATCTACGATCTCTACGTCCTCCTCCTCCTCCAGCACCACCGCCWCCACCACCACCACGATGATGGCCATGTCTAGGAGAAGGTGATCTGGTTCTACGTGTTCCAACATGATCACGTGAACGACTACGTGAACGATGTCTGCGTGATCGACGACTATAAAGATATTTACGTAATTCTCGTGATATTGGTTTCAAGTGCATGAAATTACAAAACCCACTACGTGTACACTCTCTAGAAATCAAAAATTATTAATATTTTTTAACAGATATTACCAACATTTACAATAAATTTACAAATTGACATTTGACAATTTAATATAACAACAAAAGTTAAAAGTAAAAAGTCTTTACTTAACTTTTATTACAGTTCTAATAAATTCTAAAAAGTGATGAGTACTAATATATTTTTTGTGAGTTCTATTTGAACATCATCATAAATTAATATTAYTATTTTATTTTTGATTTCTATTCTCACCCCATTTCATACTGACGACAACACGCTTCTCKGAAATCAGTTACAGGGCTCAATTCAGCATAAACTGGACGTCCACCAAACCATCTGTTATTTAAATCGTTAACAGCTGCTTCTGCATGTTCTTCTCGACGAAACTAGAATTTTTCAAAAATTAATATAAAATATTACTGAATAATAATAATAAATCATTAACAATGTATGAGTTTAATTTTGTTGTTGTGAAAAAAAAATTTATCGGGATCAAAGCTTAATATAAATAATGATTCTTAATAGGTACATAAGTACAATAAATTTTACCTTGATATAAACATTGCCAACAAGATGATCTCCCAAATTGTCACAAACATTCATTTCTTCAATTTCGCCATACTTAATAAGCAAATAATTAAATGTAATATGATTATTAAAAATAATTACAATAATGCATATTATATTAATACAAGAAGAAGAATTTAAACATATTAAAAAGAAGTACATTCATTTAAGTAAAAACTAGAAACATACAATATGAACATTAACAAGCTTATTATTTTTGGCAACCCTAACTCGAATCTATTATACATTTAATATCCTTAATTTGAGTTTAACTTCTTTAAGAATTTAAACATTTTTTTTTTTAAAGCTATATTTACATTCTATACATAAAGCACAATAACTAAATTGGATAATAATTAGGTAATAAAAAGATTAGTTGATTAGCTTGAGGGAGAAAACCATCTATCACCAGTACCTCCTGTTTGATTTGATTGGTTCATACATGGAAAGACCGTTTATTTAATTTATTTTCATTTTTTGTATTAGACAAATGTGTCTCTTAGCCATTTTCTTTTTCATCTCCTAAGAGGGTTGGTTGCTGGGGACGATTAAAGAGGACATACAAGAAATAAGATGGATTTGGTTCGAATGGAGTTTTTTGTAATGTATTGTTGATCATATACTATGGGCTCTGGTTATTTGTCTGAGACATATGGTTTCAAAGACTTCTATAGGTCTTATATTAGATGGTTTGGTTTGGCCTCAGATTTGGATAACATAAAACTAGAGAGGTAATAATTGTCTTGTATATTAATACTTTGCTTTTTTAACTCATTGAAGGAGACAGCAACGGACGAAAGAGGTGTAGGCGTGTGTTTGATTGTTTTCTTTTATGTTTAGTGTGTTGGGCCCATGTAAGTCTTTTGACCATATAAACTTCTAGATGTTTAGTTACATTTTGGATAGGAATTGGTACATTATTTGACATTGAGAACAATCGTTAATAAAATGAAACAATAAAAGTTAAAACTAAAATCTTTACCTTATCTTCACATTCTACGAAAACATCTTCAAAGAAATTATCATAATGCTCTTGCATTTCTTCATCAGTTACATTTGAAACCACTAAAAAAAAAAAAATGAATATTAGTCATAAAATATATTATGTCACATGCATAAAGGCAGACATAAATAATAGTATATATTTTTAATTTAAAAAAGGGCAAATAATCTTCTATACTTCAAAATGTTTTTAATATTGTTTATAGCTTTTAATATTAAATAAAATATTTGGCGAATAATAGCTTAAAAATAACTACACGTTTTTGTTTAATAAGTACACTAAATTACTTATAACACGCTAAATAATTATTATCACTTGTTAGTTTCCAGTTGTCCAGTGAGTTATTATAAGAAATCTGTGATTAAACAATAACTATAATAAGTAAAACTGTTAACAACAAACACACAGAGGATGATGTTTTTATCCAAGTAGGAAAATAACCACCTAATATGGGTTATTCAAATTATATATTCAAAAACGGACAGCAGTCTTAAACCGCAAGCGTTTAATTTCCAAACCAGCAACTATTAAACTGTGTATTTTAAATTGATCTGTTCACATAAGGTGGTTTGATTTGAGATATTTCCAAAGATAAAAAATACCATTTAAATCACCACTGGTGCAAACTAGTAAGAGCTTGGAGGACTCGACTCAGTCTTTTCAATTTAAAATTTAGTACAAAGTAGTAAAGAAATATTATTGAAGAGGGCAGTTATTGTACCTATGGAAATCACTCTTTGAGTGTAAGAACATAAATATACACGGAGAATAAATCATTATTTCATATTTTAATTCATTACTATAAGCTTATAGAACACAATATTATTAAAATTTGAACTTCATTAGCTCGCAAAAAATTTAAATGCCTCCCAATAAATTTTAAATTAACTTAAATGTATTAGTTTCAGTATGAAATACTTATGGATGATCATTTATTAAATGTTCAAACCATAGATGTTAAAATTAAAAAGTGGGTAAATAGGTAACAGCTCTGTTGTACAGTGATAGTTGAATGTTCCTCATCAATGAATAGTAAGTTACTATAATGWAGGTCTTAAATTTACATTTAAGATAAATCATTGCTTATGAAAAACAACTCTTAGTATAAACTACYTTTCAGCTTTTAGTATATTAATTTATAATAAGTACATAAAATAAAATAAATTATTATCATTTATTTTACTATTAGTATTAGTATAGATTAAAAAAATATACAAATATATTTTATCCATGGTAATGCAATAAATAAGCAATAACTTATAAGTAATTAAATAATGAACAGAAATTAATATTAATATAAACATTAGTGAAAATTTCAAACAAATTTGAAAGGCCTGAGCATCATTAGAATTTGAGACCTTGAACTTACAATATTAAACACTAAAATGCTTGGAAATATTTTATTTACACGGTATATTATAATATAGACCCGAGGCCCTGGGCATGTGCCCCATTTACCTTGCCCTTGGGACGGCACTGCCTGAGTACCAAACAGGTTACATTTCCTACCACAAAATATATTGATAAAAATCTAAGCATTTTTGATCCAAAAGGTGATAGCAGACTCGAAAATTACAATATATATGATTCATGTTTTGGTATCATGACATCATAATTGAATATTAAAGCATTATTAATTATAGATTGAAATGATGATTTAAAAATTAAAAATATTTTATAGTAAAGATATGTTAAAGGTGATCAAATGTTGGGCAGATTCTAAATTGAACAAAAAATTTACCATATTATAACTCCATAGGTATTTAAAAAAATATATATAATATTATCTATCAAATATCTTGAAGGAGTACATTATATTTTGTTTATACTGGTCAAAATTCCATATTGATGCAAACATCCATATTCACTCCTATAACAGACAACCTGGTTTGATTTATTAAAATGCATACATTTTTTCTAATCTTATCTAAAATAAATAATGAACGAAAATAGCTATAAAAAAATTAATTTAAATTTTAAAAACACTGACGAGTCGTAGTCTTCAAGCTAGAGCAGAGTCTTCAAGCTACAAAGAGTACACTCTTTCAAGATATTTGACAACGACTGTAAACATAAAAGTAAAAAATTAAACCTAAAAATAACTTAGTATTTCTAGAAATAGTATTTAATATTAATTGAAAAGTTATTTATTGATWTTTTTAAATATTTATAATAGAATGTTATGATTAAAATAACAATAAAAACCTTTTTCACTAGAGGATTTTTTAAATAAATAATTTTTGATAGTAAAATTATTTATAAGTATTAA